AAAAAAATATATTTTATTTTTTTTTTTTTTTTTTTGTTTTTTGTTTTTGTTTGTTTTGTTTTGTTTTTTTGTTTTTAGTTATGTGGGTTGTTGCTTTGTTGTTTATTTTTTTGGTTATTTTGATGGGTGGGGGGGATATGCAAATAATAAAAAAAAAATATATATAAACACAACGATGATGATACTTATTTATATTTATATATTTATATTTATATTTATATTTATATTTATAAGTATATTTATATTTATATTTATATTTATTTATTTATGTATGTCTATTTATATTTATTTATTTATATTTATTTATTAGCATATTATTATTTTAGTGAGGGTGTATAAGCAAACACCGAAGCGCAGCAACAGCTGCAGCAGCAACGAAGACAGGAACAATAAGAGCAGCAGCAGCAACAGCAACACCAGCAGCAGCAGCACAAGCAGCAGCAGCAGCAACAGCAGCACCACCGCCATCAGCAGCAGCAGCAACCGCACCACCTTCAGCAGCAGCAGCACCACCACCATCAGCAGCATCACCAGCACCAGCACCATCACCATCAGCAGCAACAGCAGCAGTAACAGCAGCAGCAGCAGCAACAGCAGCAGCAGCTGAGGTGTACGTACACTTGTTCTCTACGAACTGATGCAGGAGACAAGACTTCCCCGCCCCCGCATCTCCAATTATAATAAATTTAAAAAGGTAGTCGTGCTGCTCCTTCCCCTGCAGCAGCAGCAGCAGCAGCAGCAGCAGCAGCAGCGGCAGCAGCAGCAGCAAAGGCAGCAACAACAGCAGCAGAAATAGAGAGACAGACAAAAGAACAATAGAAGGAAAAAAGAGACAAAATACATAAAAGGAGACAAACAAAAAAACAAAAACAAAAAAACAAAAAAACAAAAACAAATATATAAATAAACAAAAGGAGACAAACAGAGAAAGACAAACAAATAAAGAGAAATAAATAAAAACAAAAAAAACAAAGAAAAACAAAAAGCAGATTGAAAATAAATACAGAGAAACAAAAGGAGATAAATAAATAAAGATAAAA